GAGTCTCAAATAAAAACATGCATCCCATTGAGCACACATCGTCCTGGACAGAAGGTTTCTTGAAAATCCTGCAGGCAGAGTGGCGATCGGACACCTGCGCCTGCGCTCGCTTCTGCAAGGTGGCTGACTTTCAGTGGTACAGGTGAGTATTGCAACCGGCATGCTAGCGCAAGCAGACGAATACTGAAGGATGAAAGCGCGCGCTTCATCGAGCCTCCAAGAATGCCAAGCGTGCAAGAAGCGGCTCGGCGGGCGGTGCCTGATACAGTGTTGTCTTCAGCAAAATATGAAAGTTGAAGAGCAGCATGCTGCTAGCAAACGCCGCAAATCATGATGCCATACTACCATCGGAGCCGCCAGCAGTCCGTGGCGGCAATCAGTACCCAACCGACCGCAACGCATGACAGCAACAGTGTCCAACTGTTGTGTCAGCGGCACGCGGAACTGGCGGAGAGTTCACAGCTTAGCAACCGCTTAGCAGCATGCTAAACTCGCAGAGCAGGATGAATGAAGCGTGAGCGCATCCGATTTTGGATCGTAGAAGTGGCTCTTTCGCATCCCTTAGACCCAGCCTTGCCGCTACTTGTGTAGCAGGCGTCACGGGGGGAATCAAACCTGAGCTGCAACGAGACACGAGGAGCCTGTGTGCAGAATTTCGCTAGCTGAGGTTGCAACGTCTCCCGTCCAGAACTCTGAGCTTCGACTTCCTGGCAACATCTTGCAAAGTGAGTCAAGCCTGCTTGTTTCCGAGCCGTCCTGATATTCAATGACACGCGTTGCATGCTACAAGCAGCACTCCCTCAACAAAAGTCTCATGTTATCATGGTCTACGATCCTTCCAGACCTAATGAGGCACATTAAATGCGGCCACAAAACGGAGCCAAACCCTCCTGCCTCTGGCTCACCAGTTTGATCGGCAGCTTCGCATGTTGAGCTCGGGCTGGAGCCTGAGGGCAAGGCTCCAAGCGCACCTCACGCGTCTTGACTGCTAGCAGCGGGGAGATAACATCCTGGCGCTGTGGCCGAAGCGAATCGCTGCCGGGTGGCGCGATGCAGTTCCTGCCACGTCAGATGGCGCTGTGCCAGGCGCTGGCTGCAGCTCAACAGCCTCAGGCTCCTGGAGCCGAGATATGCAATTGCGAAGGGGGAGGAATCAGTGATCTGTTTTAAACTTATGGGGGGCAGTGAATTTGGATTGACTTTGGTAGGTTGACTCGGCCTGGCTAGCTTGGCGCCATGGGAGATAAAAACACCGCTAACAAAAAGACATTGAGAGTCCTGGAAATGTGAATGACAAGGGGGCGGGGGGACAACGTCATGTTTCTTGGGCGAAAACATGACATGAGTTGAAATTTCAGCGGAGTCCTTTGAGTTTGTCGTAGTCAGCGCTTCATAGCACGCTGCATCCGGATTCTCTGGCTCAGGGCTTCGTGTTGGCTGGGCGCACGTTCGAGGGGGTTGTGGGCCTGAACCAGCACGAGCAACGATCTCCGCAGGCACTTGTGGCGGCTGCGGAGTCGCGGCCAAGGCCTGCGGTCCACAGGGTAGGTGTTCACTGCGGCTTGGAAGCGAGGCCATCATTGGGGTCAGCGTGGACATCGCTGCATCCATGGGATGACAGAGAGTTGGGTCCGTGGGTTGCATCGCCTGAGCCGCGTGAGCCTGTGCTGTGATACTTTTTGTCCTTAGCTCTACAGAGGTCGGAGAGGCTGCTGATGCTACTGCTTCACGCTTCATCTAGCTGGCAGCTTAGAGACTCCCGAGCAGGTGGTCGCGGACCTCCGCCTGCATAGAGATCGCTGCTACAGCTCTGGGACACCGAAGCTCGTTGGCACTGTGATACCTGGGACAAGGCGGCTCTGCGAAGGCAGCGGGCCCTCAGCTGGCCTCCAGTTTCTCTTGCTCTCGCTAAGATCCATGTTGCGCTGCATTGCGGTGCTGCGCAGTGCCGTGCAGTGCTGCACGGCTGTCAATTTAAGGCCGAGCAGCGTTGCACGGCGCAGTTGCCTCAACGCTTGTTGATGGTGCCTCAGCACCCAACTCCGCCAAGCGCTTGATGAGCTTGATTGCGGTTAGCAAAGGAGTCTAGGCATCTTTACCTGTCCCACGTTCCTGCCTTTTCAGTCAAACAAATGGTTCCTCATCCGCAAGATACAGCCTTTCAAATTCAGGCCGGCCATTGCAAAGGCCCGCGCTGCTCCCACAAAGGAGGCCGCACCTCTCCAACAGTGTTGGACTGAATCTATTGAAGTCTGCTTACGGAAAAAGGGTTGGCAGCGGCACGTTATGCGCTGCAGTTTCCAGCGGACTGCCCAGCCAAAGGGCCTGCTGCGCTGTCTGACCGGGCCGAGCGTGGGCTGTCAACCTGTCCCAGAGTGCGCATACACCATCGAGAAGGTCTTCCGGTTCGTGCTAAGAGTACGATATCTCACAGTATCATTCCCACTGCTGCCTATCAAATGCAACCTATGCCTGGGCGACTGCGGGGCGTCGAAACGCGGCGATGTGGGTGGCGATGGACCAAAGTGACCTGCTGTGAAAGGCTGTGGCTGAACATTTCAACAATGTCTCAACATCTCTCCGGCAGAGCACGCTGGCCTGCGACAGTGGACCGGGCTGGACCACTGACCAAGACGAACGCCTTCAGTCAGTAAGGTGACTGAACTTTCTGCGACGGCACAACATCGCGAGCTCTCTGCCTCCCGGGATCGGCTCAGCATGTCCACAGCCTGCACAGCCTGTCGGGTTGCAATGGCCAGGAGTAAGCGCATGCTTCGTAGCTCATGATCAGGTTCGTTTGGAGGTTCCGCTGGATTTCCGTCTTACCTCAGTTCAGATAGCTGCAAATGGCAAAGCATGTGTCGACATGTAGTTCTTAGGAACAACGCGCCAAGTCAACAGAAGTGATTAACACCGATAAATAAGCCTATACTTTAGCCAGAACAGTGGCTGCCACAAGCAGCCCCCAGCCAAGAAATGCCTTGCAAACCTACGCGGTGCTGCAAGCATAGTTGCCACGCCCAGGGAAAGCTAGTGACCGACGCCTCTGGAGCCAACCGAGGCGAGAGCATGCTCTGGGCAACCTGTGACCTGCAAAGAACAAGTTTGCATCAGCCCCATGCTGCCAAAGCACCCACCACGTTCGAATCCGTTCGAATGGTGGCATCACCATGGACAATTTGTTGACTGTGCTCAGCTGGCAACCCTCACCTGGCTGTGGAGGAGAGCGCCGGCTGCGCCGGCACTCGGGGACTCGCATACCTCTGCTTGCACTCCGTGCAATAGTTCGAAATAATAGTTCTATTATTACTCACTTCAGGCGCTATAAACTCTTGAAGCTTACGGGGCAGGGCACGCAACCCAATTTGATGTTGCGCATGGCGACAAAGCAGGTCGAGGCCTCAAAAGTGCCGTGCTGCTGTCCGGGAAGTGGAGACTCTGAATGCCCAATAAGTACTCTTCTACCCCGTTGCCATGTCCTCACTAACGACGAATATCAATGTCAAGCTTGTCCTGAGGCGGCGGCCGCGCAGCCTCAGCACTTGCGGGATGCGCCTTTGTGAGAAAAATTGGGTTTGAATTTGCTGGCCTGGCTTTAGCTGCATGCAAGAATGTTATGAGTAGTTTGTCAACTTGCCTTCAATTGAAATTCCTTGGATCTGGGCCACATGTGGCACCTGTAAATGTGCACTTTTTGAAGCCTGGGACTGATCCTCCAAGTCACTCCTGCAACCGCTCGGTGCAGCGCCGTTGGCGACGCTTGTGATCCGTCTTAGATTTGCAGGAAACACGAAAGGAAAGTGCCCGAAGCTGAAGTGTATGAGTGCAGCACGGGTAGAGCCAGCTCTCCAAGCTTTTTACTGAAAATCTGGTACAACCGTGCGCTTGCTTACAGCTATTGGTTGCAGCTTGGTCGCATTTGCATGTCGGCATGGACACCATTCGCTCCTGTCAGGCCAAGCCAAGCCCTGGTCGCAGATTCTACTTTCAAGCTTGTCTACAACCCACAATGCAAACACTATCAGGCAATGCCTCCCAGTCTCTGGAACAACAGCCAAGCAGACAGGCTCTCTAAGGTCGATATGGATAAAAACCCTCCATGGGGTACTGGACACAGGCACCTCCAGCCACTAAACCTTTCGTCAACTCATTGGAATTGCCGCAACACGTTGGGACACGGCTCGTACGAAGAAAATCATGATGTCTGGACAACCCCGATCACTCACGGCCAAGTCTCGACGGGGCGTGGCCCACCGAAAGCCATGCCAGGCGCACCCTGTGAAATTCATGTTTCCACGCACTTCCGAATGCGACATCAACTCTGAGTCTGGCTGCAATTCTTCAAAGCAAGAAATTCCAGCGCTGCCCTGCAAACCCAGCGCCAGGACTCCTTGCGCTGGCCGTGAGCCCTAGAAACCCGAGAAAAACAAGATAACCTGGAGTAAGCAAACAACAACATCTTGTTCAGTCCCGAGGTCAGCTGCTAGCCAAAGGCCATTCATCAATGTTTCATTCCATCCATGCTCTGTGAGGGGAGCGTCCAGCTAACCCTCGCTGTGCTTTCACACATTCCCAAAGCCCCAGCATTTGCACAAATGAAACTGCATACACAAAGTGCTGACTTTACCTGCAAGCTTTGTACAACGCTGCTGTCAACTGAGGCGCGCACACGATACCCCTGAGGCGGGATCATGGCCAAGCCATGGTGACTCTAAGTGAATCCGTGAATCCAAAATCATACAGTCATACAGTAGATCGCGTGAGTGCACTTGACTTGGGCGTCAAGTGCGGTGAAGAGGCTGCTGCTGTTCACTAACGAATTTGACCTGATGCTGCCGCACAGCATCGCAGAGAAGAAGAGCCCTACATCGCACTGAACTGAGCTACAAAATGAGGCTTCACGGCGGGCTGGTCCTTGCATCTCTTTGCCTAGTGTATTACGAGCGTCGCGCAGTCTTTGGATAGCGCAGCTTCTTTTTGCACACGCCTTTGACCAGCCTTCATTGCACGCCAAACCTGGGCAGCGGAAACGGGACAAATGAAGCTCCTGGCCAATGCAATAACATTTCGCGGGAGTTCGTGCAAACATTGCCCCAGTTGCCATCCTACTGGGCGCAGTACGTGCGCAGAGCATCGCCAACCAGGCTGCGAGTGTTGGGATCCTCCACGTCGAGTACCTCAATAACAGTATTGCAACGTATTGCAAAAAAAGGAGTCTAGCAGGTGAACAAGCTTCCAGGAAGGATGGCGAGGCTTTCTGTCAGATGCCGCCAAGTGAGAAAAGAGTTGATACGCTTTTACGGAAGTCAGCTACTGAAGAGGCCATGGGCCAAGGGCATGGTGTGGCGTGCAAGGATGCCTGCCCTTTCTTTCTACAGACTTTCTCAGCTTTCAGGTTTAGGCGATTATTTGAAGAAACACCCAGCCTGCAGCACATCGTTTGCAGCCTTCCGCAGCTGCTTCCTAGCAACTGCCAAGATGCCGCAGACTTGCAGCGTACAGAGGAGCTCCAATAAGAAGATGCTTGCTTCATCTTCCTTCAGCTAAACCCGCCTCGCAGCCTGTGTTGACCTGAAGATGCAAGCTTATCGGCAAAGCTCGAGCTTGCAGTGAGAATACTTTTGGCGTAGCACTTGTGACATCCTTTCCCCTGCAATGCGAATCAATCTTAAGCTCATGGCTCCATTAGCGCAGCTGCCCGTCGGAGAAGCCGGACTGCCTCCTTCGCGTCCCATGCCTCCAGACCAGAGCAAAGTGATGTGAAAGCTGGCCTATCCGGCCCATCCTTCAATGTGCAATCCGCCAAAGCAGACTGACTTCCAGTGCTTCAATACGACTTAATGACTGCTGCAGTGCTAGGACGAACCCGAGCACGGCCTCCTTACAAGAAGCGGCAGCTAAAGCCACAGATTCTGCCTCAATCGCGCGGTTGAATCCACATCGGTAAAGGGCAAGAGCGAGAGGACAGTCACAGATCCCAGCCTGCTTGAGAGTCGCACTCACTTCTATGCTTGCCTCGACACTTTGGTCGGGCTGGGCAGTTGTCCTCAGTCAAATAAACATCCCCAGATCAGTAGGAAACTGCGCCCGCGGAGCGAGGTGTCTAGTACAAGACTAGTTGTGAATTCAAATCGCACGGCTTTCAACCTTGTCAAACTCTTAACTTCTCGCAAGTCACAGATGTCCTTGGCCGCGATTTAGCTCGTACCTTCGATTTGCGCTTGGCTCGTGCGAGGCGCTGTGCCTGTCAGGGCGCATTTGCGGCATGTGAATAGGACTTAGTAATGCAAATTGCCGCTCACAATGCACAATTTGCCAGGCCTCCGCCCGTTTCCAACATGCCTGAGGCAGCGGCAGATTATAGAGTGCTTGATTCAGGTGCTCGCACAGCTCTGCCGTTACGAAGGTCGCTGTTCAGCGCCATCACGCAGTACTTTACCCGAGCGTTCATGGAGCGTTGGGAACCCTCTCTCACATCCATGCACTGAATGGAGCATCGCTGGGTGCTCAGAGTAGGATGTCTTGGTTTGCTCGGGTGGAGGATTGCAAGTCTTCATCTAGCTGGCAGTACAGCAACAGATGTTTGACTGCTCCCCATCTCAAAACTCCCCTCCTCCCACTTGAAGGATCGTGCTGTTTAGCA